TAAAGCGATAATTCACTTCATATCCTGTTTTAATTTTCGGGCATGAGAAGATTACGATTACAATATCTTTGCATGATTTACAATCAATCACTATGTCAGAGACGTTAACATTTCTGAACTTAAATTCTACAGTATTCCACATTGTTCCGCATTTTACATATTGCGAAATTGAGATAAAAACAGTCGGAAAATTAGGAATTCTGTATTCTATATTTTTATCTTCAACATCGTGATACGATTTTAACCGTTTTGCGTATGAGCTCGTACTCTCACTTTCTAATTGTGCTATATATCTGTTTTTAACACATTTTCTTTAGCTTTCCTATTGATATTCACCGAATATTGTTTCCTTGAACATTTTACATGTCGCGCAAAATGGAAAGAAGTAATCGCTTGAAATTAGAACACAATATTTTTGTAGTAATAAAATTGTGTTTTTTAGTAGTAGTAAATACTCCGACACTTGACTTATCACTAAAAGAACGTCTCGTTCCGCGATAAAATAAATGAGTGTGTTGCAACGTGCAATGCGCTAACTGTCGCAGAAAAATGTACGAACGCGGAAAAACGGCTGTATCTCTGTCATTTCAATATATTTTTAACTGAAACTTTAGGGAAATATTCTAGAAACATCAAAGATTCAAAAAATGTAAAAATTGAGAAATAAATTTTTTGAGCCCCCAGAATGTACGTAGTCCTTTAAAACTTTAAACACGTTTTTCTTGAAACAATATTTCCGATACCAAGGATTTCTCAAAAACTACTAAACTGACCTTGAGATTTAACATATTTATTCAGCATATTAAAACGTAGATAGCGTCGTAAGGATTTCTCCGTTTATGCTTTTGTTCTATGATTCTAATATTAATATTATAAAAAGTATGCCTTAAAATTCAAACATGTGCCATTTTGTTGAGAAGCAAAATTTTTGAAAACAATTATGATGCTACCTGCGTTTTTTAATGTGCTTTAAGAAAATATATGCATCCTTTTTTTGCATTCCAATACGTTTTATAACTGTTTTTCTGGTACCGATTTCCAGATCGGCGCTTAACGCCTACAATTTTTACTCTTATATTGTAGCTGTTTTGAAAGATTATACAGCATAAAAATTTTTAAATCTAAAATGTTGATATTTTTTAATAAAAAACAGCAAGATAAAGAACTTCACATTTGCGAGAAAAAAATTGTAAAAAATAGTTTTTTTTTAGGGCCAGAGTGTGTGTAGCCCTTTAACAAATTCTTTGCCTCGTATGTTACGTGCGTTACAAGGTGAGTGAGATTAGATCTCACGCGACGCCAAGACTCCGAGACGGATTAACTATTACTCCCGGTTTATCGGCAGAGAGAAGAATCCATCCTTAAATTACGTCAACGTTATAAAGATCAACGATCTTCCGCCGAATCCCAAACACTTTCCGGCGAGTCTAACGCCGTGAATACCAATTTCAAGTTCGACATTAGGAACTGAATTTTAAGAAGGATTCGGTTCTCTCCCTCTCTCTCTCTCTCTCTCTCTCTCTATCTCTATCTCTATCTCTATCTCTATCTCTATCTCTATCTCTATCTCTATCTCTATCTATCTCTCTCTCTCTCTCTCTCTCTCTCTCTCTCTCTCTCTCGCTCTCTCTTTCTCTTTTACATTCGGATAGCTCTCGGAAATGGCCGGTAGACGAGGGAGGAGCAGACCGGAAGCGCTTTTCGGCGCCGACCAAAGCGGCTATTAGGAAGCAAACGTCGTTGTCCACGTAGGAAAACATTTGTACGTTGCGCTACTCGATGGGGGATAAGAGATGCTTGTCGATTTCGTATGATCGATTTGTCCGACTACGCCCGCATCCTGGCCGCGTTTGCATTTGTAAACGTCTACTACCGCCGCAGCTACCGCTACCGTCCCGTCGCGCGCGAGCTACTCACTTAGTTAATTCTTACGGTCTCACGTACCATAAGCTGACGCGGCTGAAAATGATGAGTCCGAGATCTGAGATTACACACGTACCGAGGAACACGTTTCAAGTTATAGCACGGAATATGAAACTCTCCCCCTCTCTCCTTCTCTCTCTCTCTCTCTCTCTCTCTCTCTCTCTCTCTCTTTTTCCCTTCCCTCTCCCTGCCACTTGCCTCCGCACTCGTGGAATATATGAAAAAGGAATTAACTTGCGCGTAATATTACGCAAAATCAGGAAAGTAGCGAAAAGCGGCTCGACTAATCGTTATCGGTCCAAGTGAGCACTCGATTGTGCACTTGTTAACGCGATGATACGCCAAGATTAAACTGCCCTCCTAAGCGATGCTTGCCGAAGAGTATAATCGTGTCAGCTTAAGCTACGTGCGGGATAGCCAGACGCAAAAAATCTCGATACCCCGTCCGATCGGTCCGGGGAGTGGCAACTGGCCGTGATATCTATTTCACTTGTATCTGAGTAGAGTATAATATAATTTGCGATACGTGTGTGAAGTGGGACGTACCTGGTAAAACCTTGAAAATATTCCGCTGTTCGGCACAAGTCGCACACGACATAGCCAGTACATTGTTTTGCCAGGTGGCTCGTCGCTTAATGCAATTAAGTGGGTACGTGACAAAAAGCGCGAGTAACGCGCCGATACTGCTTAATTAGTCAGCTGCATGCTTATCTATTTTATCGGACCCCCAACGTGGTCAACAAGGCAAGCGAGGGCTGTATGACGCAGCTACCGGGAAGATGAAGATATCAAACAGATACCACATGAAGGAGAAACGACGTTCATGAGAATTACGGTGTGTACAGATAAAATGCAGAAAAAACGTGAAATCGCGCCTTATCGATGAATAAAGTAACAGGGATATCTCGATATGCCGATACAAGTATTAATTTCAGTTAAGCCAGTTTGCATTTAAATGTTTCATCGATCAAAATGGATTCTTTGATCTTTCCTTTAATTATACGGAATAGTGCGGATCATAAATACTCAAAGGCAAGTTTCATTTATCATTATGAAAAATTAATCGTTCTCTTCTCATCACATCGAAGAAGAACTCGATATTCGTCGGCAAAATTCAGATATTTTGTGCGTGTATATGTGTATGCAAAACTGATATAATAATATATCATTTTTATAGAATCATTGAATTATTATCAAATATATTTTAAGGATAGGTTGTATTATTCATAAAATTGTCACAAATATATATGTATATGTGTACTTCGTTTATATCTGCCACATATTTCTTGTGATGCTGATATTTTCCTCAACAATATGCATTTTTACTCATTTATAACATCACCATTAGAAAATCCATTGAAAATATCACGATAATATTTGCAAACTCATAGAAAGAATAGCTTTCTATAATATCGAATGTTATCTTTGGACTTTCTTAGAATTTTATTGTTCACTAGTATAACAAATGTAATGATGAACAAGTATAATGATTTAAATGAAATTATTTAAATGATAACATAAAATTATATTACATAATAATGATTATAGTATAACAAATAATGAATATAGTAGATAATGTTTTCATTACCATCAAATGACCCGAAAAATTAATTTATATAGTAGATTATATAATTTTCATCCAAGAAAACAAATAAAAGCTTTTGTAAACAATTTGTTCGGAAAGAATTAGAAGAAGCGACAAAATCCTTCGAAAGCGACTATAGAAATTTTCCGAAGTTACATTTGTTTAGCTTTTAATACATAATACATATACAATATGTATATAGAAATATAGTCTTCATCACATCATGACTACATTTTTTAAATATTTATTTTAACATTCAAATATGTAAAAGTTTTTGTAACATCTTATAACATTAACGTCTAACTCATTCCTTATCATTAAATAAACATGGAAGACATTAAATATGTTGTAATCTTGACGTAAACAATTTACTCACTTTGTACATATACATGTGTGTATATATGAATTTAATAAAAATAAAACCGATATAATCTTAATTTGATTCATATCTGATCATTAAGTCTATTAATTTTTAATATGCACATACAGGAAAATGTTTAGTTGAATGAAACAATTTTCTCTATGTGTACATTAAAAATTAATAGTGAAATATAAGTAGAAATATGAACAGAAATATGAATCGAAATTTTGATTGGAGTTATCAGAATTTAATCTAAATTGTCAAGACTTTTAATTAAATTAAATAAAATTCTGGTAATTTCAACCAGGATTTCTGAACTGTGCTTTATTAGAAGACAGGTTTATCCCAGCATTTTTTTTTCATGCAGAGGTTGAGATTCGAGATATCTGATTATAACGGTTGCAAAGTTGACAAGTTGTGAAAATATTGTAAATCTCTTATACATCTGATAAATCGAATGTTTGAGCTACTTTATATCGCCCGATATATTCCATCTCATCTTGAGAAGATGCGACGGATGAGAAGATACTTAGTTTCCAATCCCGTTTCAATACTTTTTATGTGCAATAATTTTGCACGAAGATCTATATTAATTATGTTAAACGGACATTTCGATATACCTTATGTAATGGATGATAAAATAATAGGACAAAAGAAATGACGCGTTTCATGTGTAAATACAATAATTAGTTCGCCACATTGTCATTGCCGCAAAGAATAAGATAAAGATGTGTGTGTATACAGAGAAGAAGCGCAAAACAAATAATTAACCCTTTAACTGCTACGGTCGAAATAACTTGAGTGTGGAAGAAAATGGCGGTCTTGCTACGATCGAGTTTACTGGATCTTGGACTTTCAATGTGTATGGTATTGCGTGTGGTATTTTTTTAAATTTAAAAATGTGAATTTGTGAAAATCTGGATCATCAGCATATTATAAAATATTTTATAATTGTAAAAATAACTCAGCAAAGAGGATCATACTGGTCATTTAATATCTCAGCAGTTAAAGGGTTAAAGACGAAGATAAATAATGTTATGTAAGTTGTTATCGTCAAGTGACAGAAATCTTTGAGCTAATATGATCTAAGATACCTCATAGAAATAAGCTCAGAACATTGATAACGACAATATATAAAGTTTATAAATGCTGCCGGCGATCATCGGTCGGGCAGTGAGAGATTTGACAGGCGAATCCACGACAAATCAAGAATTCAAGATGCGCTCTTTGCTCACCGCGGTTTTGTGCCTTTCCATGGCCGTCTGCACACTAGCAAACGACTTCGAACGCGGCGAACGCCAAATGGACGACCACCTCGTCACCGAAAGAATCATCTTTAAGGTAAATGCTCGTTTCTATAATATGACTAAGGAATGCAGATTTCTCACGTCAGCAATTTTCCCGAATTGCTCTGTGATCTTTATTTCGCAGAAGCAAACTGCCCATTCGATTTTGAACGAATGCGAGGGGAAGAAATGTATTTCTCGTGTTAATTCATGCATGTCAGGCGTAGCAAAATCGAAATGCGCCTTTAAGGCTTGTGTATCGTGATTCACAGCGAGCGTTTGATAACTTTTATGAAAAAGAACGGTCGTATTAATTTATTAGTTGTTTACCTATTTATTTATTTGAAGTCGTCCCTTTAGTACAATATGTTAATGATCAACATAAGAATGGATATATAAGAATAATGTTGCATATTTATTGCAGCCTGCGATCCCTTGGAAGTCTATGAAAGCTACAATCGGCATACACTGCTCATCGCTCAACGAAATCATTACCTACATTAAGATTAGCAATATAAATAACAAAGAGTCAGAGATTATCTTTCAACTGTTAGGTGATGTCGGCAGGACATCCTTAATAGTGATAGCAACAGGAAGATTAGGCAAAGGATTATGGTTAAAAGCAGAAGGTTACTGTATAGATCCAAGCGCATTAACTTCACCGGCACCGATAACAACAACAACAACAACAACAACTGAACCAACAACAACTGAACCAACAACAACTGAACCAACAACAACTGAACCAACAACAACTGAACCAACAACTGGATCAACATACTGGACGACGTACTGGACGACGAGCTACGACGTCAACTACATTCGATCAAAATGAGCGGTGAAGAAAGAATAAGCGACGCATTCAATAACAACGACACACAGTGGTTCGAAACACAAAATTTGTGAAAAAAATATTTATTTGATAAATATTGTAAATCTATTAATACTTTATCATTTATTACTATAAAAATAGGGAACTTAAATGCATTAACTTGAAAAATTATAATTCTTTTTAAAAATAATACCGCATATTTAACTGAACTATAACATGTAAGATATATTACTATTACTATTATCATAATAATTAGATTATTTTTATCTTTTTAGCGCTATCTCGTGCGAATGAGATAGCGCTCCCCGCGAAAGAGACGGTGAAATTTCGCGCGAGACGTCGAGGGCGTGAATGAGACGGCGCGAAGCCGAAAGAAACACCGCGATATTAGCGCGCGTCGGTATCGAAAAATTGTTATTACTTGAAAAGTTGCAAGTAACAGCAGCCAAATTAAAATTACCTATTTTCTTTGAACATTATATTAAATATTTATAATAACTTTTTTCGTTCTTAAGCTTTCCTTTATTTCGTACGAAAAATTGAATTCGAAAATTGTTCAAGCTTTAAGTACTCTTATTGTGTATAATGTTGTAATGCATTTAATAATAATTGATGTGTTTCAAACATGTAATTTTATACATTGAGGTATACTTATAAACATTTATAAACCGCGTTACTACATTTCAATAATAAAAAAAGATATCAAATTAAAAGGTTCGAATTTCAGTAGTAAAATTGAGCACTTAACTTAGTCATAAAATGTTAAATACTTTATGTCTAATAAAACTTTTTAAATAAGTTCTTGGAAAAGGGCGTGTAGTTCAGTTGAACTACAGCTTATTAGTGGAAGAACATAACATAAAAATTTCGAAGCTTTAGAACAAAGTCGAAAATTTGATTATTTTTCGCGTTTTTCGCCGTTCGAACCATTGTGCGACAGCACTGCCGATAACGATGACGAAATCTGGCCTGTCGATGACAATAACGGAGTAGCATTTCTTTAGAAAAAAATAATTTTTTAGAAAAAATAAGTAGCACTTCTTTAGAAGAGAGAAGCACTTCTTTAGAAAAATAATTAATTTGGACAAAAGACTGCCGTACATACGTTTAATTTAAGTTCTAAATGTGTAACGATTGCTATGTATACGTGATGTATACTAAATATATAGAAAAATAAAGTAAAACGCATCATACAAAACAACGTGTTACTCGATTGTACAATTATCATGGTGGGAATGCAAATAAAAAAATTGCCAAAAAAAACTGGTCCCTACCGAGGACAACTAGCCAGGTTTTATTAGCTCGGATTTAGTGGACAGTAATTGCTCGAAGACTGGCCAGGGAAATCTAATTGGTATTTCTTGGCAGAAAGATAATGGCCAGAAAGTGGGAAAGTAAAATTGGTAAATATATGTTGAAAAAATCAAGGAAACAAAACTAGTCGGGAGCTGGCAAATAGCTAGAATTTCTGGCCGGTTGTCAGTTAAGCACTTATATCACCTTAATCAGCCACAAACGTCAGTCTAAAAGTTCGTCCGTCAAGGTGTATCAAAATAGGGAAATTCGAACGACATAACACGATGTCGCAAACAATACCAACATTCTTCGGTTCATCCGAAAGGAACGGCTCGGTATCATCTCACGTATCTGCTTGTGCAGACAGAAGCTTGTTGTTTGTATGTTGTCTCCTTTGCTCGAGAGCAAAGGGGACTCATGCTGCTTTTACCTCTCCTCCCTCTCTTCATCTTCCCTGTTGTGTTCGTACGTAAATACGAGAACCGCACGACAATGTTCGACGCGGCACTAAAGGAATGAAATTATCATCGCGCAACATATGTATTTCAGGAATCATCGACTTCGTGACGTGAAATATACCGAGCTTGAAAATTCTAACAACTAGTTAATTCTTACGGTCTCACGTACCACAAGCTGACGCGGCTAAAAATGACAAGTCCAAGATCTGAGACTACACACCTACCGAAAAACATGTTTCAAATTATAGCGCGGAATATGAAACTCTCTCCCTCTCTTTCTCTCTCTCTCTCTCTTTCTTTCCCGCCCCTTCCCTACCACTAGTCCACGCGTTCGTGAAATTTATGAAAAAGAAATTAACTCGAGCGCGATATTGCGCAAAATCAGGTAAGCAGCGAAGAGCGACTCGTTATCGATCCAAGTGAGCAATCGATTGTACACTTATCGACACTTATGATACGCCAAGATTAAGTTGCGCTCCCAAGCGATACTTGACGAAGAGTACAGGGTGCTAAATTTCAAACACAAGTAAAAAATCTCGAAAACTATGAAAGATATTAAAAAAAGCTAAAACACCTGTTCCATAATTTCGAAGGGGAAAGAGAATGGCATTATCAGTTTAATTTGGAGAGCATTTTCAAGGTTTCAAGCAGTTGAAGGTCAACTTAATTTTTTAAATAGGAAGCCCAATCTTTTATTATATCTTCTTTTTCTACCAATTAATTTTAACAGCTTTTGTCTGAAACATTTTTTTATTTGTCTAATATTTTTGAAATATTTAAGGAAAAGTTGGTAACTTTTTCAACATTTAACTTACGATATCTTGCTAACTATTCGTCGAAAGAAAAAATAGTATTAGATTTTTTTACTTTATTACTTTATTTACTTTATTACTTTTTTACTTTATTTATTATCAAGAATATATTATTATAATAGTGTCCTAACTTTTTTGTTAACTTATCAACCTTTGGAAATTTCAAAATTATTAAATTAACAAAAGTTAGGGCACTATTATAGTAATATATTCTTGATAGTAAATAAAGTAAAAAAGTCTAATACTATTTTTTCTTTCGACGAATACTTAGCGAGATATCGTAAGTTCAATGTTGAAAAAGTTACCAACTTTCCCTTAAATATTTCAAAAAATATTAGGCAAATAAAAAAATGTTTCAGACAAAAGTTGTTAAAATTAATTTGTAGAAAAAAAATATAATAAAAAATTGGGCTTTCTATTTAAAAAAATTAAGTTGACCTTCAACTGACCTTAAAAATGCCTTCCAAACAAAAAACTGATAATGTCATTCTCTTTCCCCTTCGAAATCATGGAACACATGTTTCAGCTTTTTTTAATATCTTTCATAGTTTTCGAGATTTTTTACCTGTTACGTTTGAAACTTGCATCCTGTATAACCGCGTCGGCGTAAGCTACGCGCAGGATAGCCAGATGCAAAACATTTTGATACAGTTTGATCGGTCTGGGGTGACAATAGACCGTGATATCTATTTCACTTCATTTTCTAAATAGATTGTAATGTAATTTGCGATAGATGTGTGAGGTAAGACGTGCCCAGTGAAGCCTTGAAAATATTCCGCTGTTCGGCATGAGACACAGACGGTACGTTGTTTGCCAAATGACTCGTCGCTTAATGCAATTAAGTGGGTACGTGTGACAAAAAGTGCGAGTGACGCACCAATACTATTTAAATAGTCAGCTGCATACTTATCTATTTTATCGGACCCCTTACATAGTCAACAATGACGGTAATGAGAGCTATATGCCGCAGCTACCGAGAAGATGAAGATATCAAGCAGATATCACGAAGGAAAAACGACGTTTTCGCTGAATGGCAGTTTATTCTGTCTATAAAAACTACGGACTGTGTACAGAAATGCAGATAATATAGAAAAAACGTGAAATCGCGCATTACCGATGAATAAAGTAGCTTAGGGATATCTCGACACGCCAATACAAAAGTATTAATTCCAGTTAAGCCGATTTATACTTTAATGTTTCATCGATCAAAATGGATTCTTTGATTATTTAAATAAAATTGTCACAAATATATATACGTCTACTTCGTTTATATCTGCCACATATTTCTTGTGATATCGATATTTACCTCAACAATATATACAGTTTTATTCATTCATAATATCCCCGTTGGAAAACTCATGAAGAATATTATGATAATATTTGCAAGATCGTAGAAACAACAGTTTTCCATAATATCAAAATTTATCTTCGACCATTTTTAAAATTTTATTGTTCTAGTATAACTAGTATAACAAATAATGATTTAGTAAATAATGTTTTCATTATCATTAAATAACACTAAAAATTGATTTATAACGTAAATTATATAATTTTCATCGAGGAAAACAAATGAAAGCGTTTGTAAATAATGAAAACGATTATAGAAATTTTCCGAAATTGCAAGTAAATTTCTTTAGTTTCTAATACACAATGTGTATATAGAAATATAATCTTCAACACATTATGACAACATTTTTAAACTATATTTTTTAATATTAAAACATGTATAAGTTTTTGTAACACTTTATAACGTGAACGTCTAACTCATTCCTTATTATTAAATAAACATTGAATACATTAAACATATTGTAATTTAATGTAATCAATTTATTCACTTACTACATATGCGTGCGTGTATATGTGAATTTAATAAAAATAAAACCGATATAAACTTAATTTGATTCACATCTGATCATTACGTCTATTAATTTTTAATATGTATAAGGAAAAAAATGTTTGATTAAATGAAACAATTTTTTCCACATGTATATTGAAAATTAATAGCAAAATATAAATAGAAATATGAACAGAAATTTTGATCGGAGTTATTCAATCTAAATTAGACTTCAATCTAAATTAGACTTTTGGTTACATTAAACAAAATTCTGGTAATTTCAATCAGGATTTCGGAACCGTTCATGCTTCATTATAGAATTGATTTCATTTCGACATTTTACTTCGTGCAGAAGTTGAAATTTTAGATATTATAATTGATGATAACGGTTATAAAGTTGACAAATTATAGAAACATCGTAAATCTCTTATATATCTGATACATCGAAATGTCTAAACTATTTCGCATGAATTTTTCGCTATATCTTAACAAGATATTTGGTCTTCAATCCCGTTTCAATCCTCTTCATATGCAATAATTTTGTACTAAGATCCATATTAATCATGTTAAACGGTCATTTCGATATGCTTTATGTAATGGATGAGAAAATAATAGGACTAAAAAATAACGTGGTTCGTGCGTAAATACAATAATTAGAGCGCCCCATTGTCATTGTCGAAAGGGATAAGATAAAGGTATGTACAAGGAAGAAGCGCGAGACAAATAATCAGAGACAAATAATCTTACGTAAGTTGTTGTCGCAGCGTCAGGTGACAGAAATCTTTGAGTTGACGTGATCTACGATACCTCATAGAAACAAGTCCAGGACATTGATAACGACAGTATATAAATGCAGACGGCGATCATCGGTCGAGCAGTGAGATTTCAGTTGACAAGTGAATCCACGACAAATCAAGAATCCAAAATGCGCTCTTTGCTCGTCGCGGTTTTGTGCCTTTCCATGGCCGTCTGCATACTAGCAAACGATTTTATACTCGGCGAACGCCAGGCAGGCGACTACTCCGTCACCAACAAAACCATCTTTAAGGTAAATGGTCGTTTGTATACTATGATTGAATAACGCAGATTTCTCACGTCACCAATTTCCCCGAATTGCTCTGTAATCTTTATTTCGCAAACTGCTCATCGGTTTTGAACGAATACAAAGAAAAGAAATGTGTTCCTCGTGTGAATTTACGCGTGTTATACGTGTCGAAATCGCCTTTAATGCTCGTGTATCGTGATTCACAGCAAGCGTTTGGTAACTTTTATGAGAAAGAACGGAAAGAATTAATATTTATTTATTTACTTATTTATTTATTTACACTATTTATCTTTTTATCTGGAATTGTTCCTTTAGTACAATACGTTAATAATCAACACAGAACAGGACATATAAGAATAATATTGCATATTTATTGCAGCCTCCAATCCCAATTATACCCATGAGAGCCAGAATCGGTATAAAGTGCTTGCTCAACGAAACCATCACCTACGTTCAGATTAGCAGTATAGATGGCAATGACATTAAGTTTTATCAGATCTCAGGCGATGTCGGCATGACATCCTTAATGGTGATGGCAATGGGGAATCCGGGCGAGGGATTATGGTTAAAGGTAGAAGGTTACTGCATAGATCCAAACTCAGTTACCACAGAGGCACCGACAACGACAACAACAGCGGTACCGACAACGACAACAGCGGTACCGACAACAACAACAGCGGTACCGACAACAACATCAGCGGTACCGACAACAACAACAACATTGAGACCGACAACAACAGCAGTACCAACAACAACGGAAGGAACGACGCAGGAGTGGACAACGACACGGCGAGCTACGACATGGCAAAGTACAACTACTACACCCGGTGAAAATGAGCAGTAAAGAAAGAATGAGCATTACATTCACTGGCAACAATAGCACTGCCGATAACGACGACGAAATCTGACTTGACAATGACAATGACAGAATAGAGAGAGAAGCGCTTCTTTAGAGAAATTATTAATTTCGACTTAAGACTGCCGTACATACGTTTTAATTTAAGTTCTGAGTATGTAACGATTGCTATGTATACATGATTAAATATATATTAAAAAAATAAATAAGACGCATCATACGAAACAATGTGTTGGATGTACTCGATTGTATTACAATTATCATGGTGGGAATGTGAGTAGAAATATTGCCAAAAAAACTGGTCGCTATCATGAGAAACTGGTCAGTTTTTACTAGCTAAAATTTAGTAGACAATAATTGCTCGGAGACTTTGCATTAAGATCCACATTAATTATGTTAAATGGCTATTTCGATATGCCTTATGTAATGGATGACAGAATAATGGAATTAAGAACAATGTTGCGTCTCTTGCGTAAATACAATAATTAATGTGCCCCATTGTTATTGTCGTCAAGGATAAGATAAAGGTATGCGTGTACAAGGAAGAAGCGGGTCAGAGACGGACACAAATAATCTTACGTAAGTTGTTGTCTCAGCGTCAGATGACAGAAACATTTGAGCTAATATGACACGATACTTCATAGAAACAAGCCCAATACATTGATAACGACAGTATATAAACGCTAATGGCGATCATTGCTCGTGTAGTGAGGTTTCCATTGACAAGTGACACCAGGACAAACCAAGAATTCAAAATGCGCTCTTTGCTCATCACGGTTTTGTGCCTTTCCATGGCCGTCTGCATACTAGCCAACGATTATATACTTGGCGAACGCAAAACGGGCGACTACTCCGTCAGGGACAATCTCATCATTAAGGTAAATGCTCGTTTCTACATCATGACTGAGGAACGCAGACTCCTCACGTCGTCGATTTTCCCGAATTGCTCTGTGATCTTTATTTCGCAGAAGCAAACTGCCCGTTCGATTTTAAACGAATGCAAGAGAAAGAAATATATTACTCATATTAATTCATGCATGTCATGCGTGGCGAAATCGAGATTCGCCTTTAAAACTCGTGATTTACAGCGAGCTAATTTTTATAAGAATGAGCTGTCGTATTAATATTTATTTATTTATCTATTTATTTATTTTCTATTATTATCTATTATTATCTTATCTATTTTTCTATTATTATCTATCTATTTATTTATTTATTTGGAATCGTTCCATTACAAATACGTTAATGTTCCAGTAAATTAATGATCAACACAAGAATGGATTTTTAAGAATAATGTCGCATATTTATTGCAGCCTCCGCTCGATTGGATGGCCTTTAAAGCCACAATCGGAATCACGTGCCCGACTAACGAAATCATCACCTACGTTAAGATTACCAATAGAAGTGACAAGAAAGTTAACTTCCAACGGCTCTCAGGTGATATTGGCATAAGAACCTTAGTAGTGATGGCAAAGGCAAACAAGGGCGAGGGATTATCATTAAGAGTAGAAGGTTATTGCATAAATCCAAACACAATACCTTAGAGGCACCAACAACAACGGAATGAACAACGTGGAAGTAGACAACGGCACGGTGAGCTATGACATGGCAGAGTACGATGTCAATTACACCCAATGAAAAAGAGCAGTAAAGAAAGAATAAACAACGCATTCAGTGGTAACAACAACACTGGTGATAAGGACGACAAAATCTGGCTTGACAAGGACAATGGCAGAGCAGAGAAAGGAGCACTTCTTTAGAGAGATTATTAATTTTTTATTAATTTGGACTTAAGACTGCTGTACACATATTTTAATTTAAATTCTAAATATGTAACGATTGCCATGTATACGTGACTAAATATATAGAAAAAAAATAAGACGCATCATACGAAACGTCTTGTTAATCAATTGTACAATTATCACGGTAGGAATGTGAGTAGAAAAATTTCCAAAAAAACTAGTCGCTACCGCTAGAAACTGGCCAGTTTTTACTAATTAGGATTTAGTACACAATAATTGCTCGTAGATTTTGCACTAAAATCCACATTAATTATGTTAAACTGTCATTTCGATATGCCTTATGTAGTGGATGATAAAATAATGGAACTAAAATAATGGGAATAAAAGAAATGACGCGTCTCGTGCGTAAATACAATAAATAATGTATCCCATTGTCATTGTCGTCAAGGATAAGATAAAGATGTGCGTCTGCATTCGTATGCAAAGAAGAAGCATCACAGACGGAGACAAATAATCTTACAAGCCTTCTACAATAAGCTGTTAATCGTAAGACGGAAACAAATTGACTAATCATAGTCGATTGTTGCGGAAAATTATCGACTGCAGTAGGTCAATTTATGTCTTATGATTAACGACTTATTGTAGAAGGCCTGTTAAGATCATTCTACAATACGTATCGTAAGTTGCAAGCCGTAAGAACTGACCAATTATAGCCGATTATTTTTGTAATAATCGACTGTGATTCGCCAATTCTTACGGCTTACAACTTATGACATGTATTGTAGAATGACCAGTAGACCTCGTCTGCAATCAGTCGGTAGACGTTGTCGTGTGTTGTACGCATGCGCACAACTTCGGTTTTTGCCTTGCATTCAATCTTTTTCTGTCATTTACGGCAGCCGACACATAAAACTCAAAGTTTTGCGCATGCGTATGACACACAACAACGTCGCCTGACTGATTGTAGACGAGGTCTTTTTACGTAAATTGTTGTCGCAGCGTCAGGTGACAGAAATCTTTGAGTTGACGTGATCTACGATACCTCATAGAAACAAGTCCAGGACATTGATAACGACAGTATATAGATGCAGACGGCGATCATCGGTCGAGCAGTGAGATCTCAGTTGACAAGTGAATCCACGACAAATCAAGAATCCAAAATGCGCTCTTTGCTCATCGCGGTTTTGTTGCCTTTCCATGACCGTCTGCATACTAGCAAACGATTTTATACTCGGCGAACGCCAGGCAGGTGACTACTGCGTCACCAACAGAACCATCTTTAGGGTAAATGGTCGTTTATATGCTATGACTGAAGAACGCAGATTTCTCACGTCACCAATTTCCCCGAATTGCTCTGTAATCTTTATTTCGCAAACTGCTCATCGGTTTTGAACGAATACAAAGGAAAGAAATGTATTCCTCGTGTGAATTTACGCGTGTTATACGTGGCGAAATCGCCTTTAACGCTCATGTATCGTGATTCACAGCAAGCGTTTGGTAACTTTTATGAGAAAGAACGGAAAGAATTAATATTTATTTCTTTACTTATTTATTTATTTACACTATTTATCTTTTTATCTGGAATTGTTCCTTTAATATAATACGTTAATAATCAACACAGAACAGGACATATAAGAATAATATTGCATATTTATTGCAGCCTCCAATCCCAATGATAGCCATAAGAGCCAGAATCGGTATAAAGTGCTCGTTCAACGAAACCATCACCTACGTTCAGATTAGCAGTATAAATGGCAAAGACGTTCGGTTTTATCAGATCTTAGGTGATGTCGGCATGACATCCTTAATGGTGATGGCAATGGGGAATCCGGGCGAGGGATTATGGTTAACGGTAGAAGGTTACTGCATAGATCTAAACTCAGTTACCACAGAGGCACCGACAACGACAACAACAGCGGTACCGACAACAACAACATTGTGACCAACAACAACAGTAGTACTAACAACAACGGAAGGAACGACGCAGGAGTGGACAACGACACAGCAAGCTACGACATGGCAAAGTACGACGTCAATTATACCTGATGAAAATGAGCAGTAAAAAAAGAATAAGCGATACATTCAATGGCAACGACACCACTCTCGATAACGATAACGAAATCTGGCCTGACAATGACAATGACGGAGTAGAAGAAGAAGTGCTTCTTTATTAAGAAGCTTATTAGAAGAAGAAGTTATTAATTTTGACTTAACACTGCTGTACACACGTTTTAATTTAAGTTCTGAGTGTGTAACGATTGCTATGTACACGTGACTAAATATAGAAAAATTAAATAAGACGCAAATACGAAATGACGTGTTACTTGATTATACAATTATCATTATATAAATACACTGAGAGAAAAGTATATGATATTTGGAACTATAATGATATAGTAACTAAATTATAGTCCGAAATATCATATTTATAATAAGCATTACCATAATATCGGTAATAATTACGATATAGGCATAGTATAACCAACCATATAATATTTTTACTAAGAATTATAGTAAGTTAAACTAAAATTATTATATGGATACAAATATAAAATGGTAGGTAAAGTAACTCTTTTATATAGTTAATATTACCCGAATATTTGCTAAATGATGACAGATGTAACTATATGAATATTAAATCTCACTATATTTGTGAATGAGAAATTACCATATATGTGGTAAAAGTAACTCAACAATTATTTAAGACAATCATTGACTATATATTTGTGTTTATTTTACTACATTTTGCAGGTTCCACGAACTATAAAAATATGGTTGACGCCAAAATGAACTATAAAATATAATGAGATTATAGTTAATTCAACTATATTTTTCTATCAGTGTAGTGACGGCGATCATCGGTCGAGCAGTGAAATTTCAGTTGACAAGAGAGTTCACGATAAATCGAGAATCCAAAATGCGCTCTTTGCTCATCGCTTTTCCATGGCCGTTTGCATGCAACTATCAAACGATTTCGACCTCGAACTCGGCAAACGCCAAACGAGAGAACACATCTACAGCAAGACCATCATTAAGGTCAACTGCTCGTTTCTACACTATGACTGAAGAGAGAGAACGGAGATTTCTCACGCTAGCAATTTTCCCAATTTGTTCTATGATCTTTATTTTGCAGAAGCAACCTGCCCATTCGATTTTGAATGCAAAGTGAAGAAATGTATTTCTTGTGTTAATTCATATGTGTCATATGTGGCGAAATCGAGATTTGCCTTTAACGCTGGTGTATCGTGATTCACAGCGAGCGTTTGGTAATTTATAAGAAAGGACGGTCGTATTAATATTAATTTATTTATCTATTTATTTATTCGGTATCGTTCCTTTACAATACGTGAATGATCAACACAGAATGGATATATAAGAATAATGTCGCATATTTATTGCAGCCTGTGCAGCTTTTCCGAACCTCGGAAGGCATATTGGAGGTGACGTGCCCGCCCAATGAAACCATCACCTACGTTAAGATTAGCAATAAACTTCAAAGAGACGTTACCATTCAATTGCTAGAAGGAGATGTCGGCACGCCATCCTTATTGGTGCTGGCAACAGGACAAAAGGGTGCGGGATTAATAGTATATGTAGAAGCTTACTGCGCATAGATCCAAACATAACTACCTCGAAGGCAACGACGGAAGAAACACTGCAGAAGTAGACAACGACACGGAAAGCTAAGACATGACAAAATACAACGTCAATTACAGCCGGTGAAAATGAATAGTAAAAAAAGAATAAGCGACACATTCAATGGCAACGATAACGCTGCCAATAACGACGACGAAATTTGGCCTGATATTGACAATGACGGAGAAGAGAGAGAAGTGCTTCTTTAAAGAAATTATTAATTTGGAGTTAAGATTGCCATACAAACGTTTTAATTTATATTCTAAGTGTGTAACGATTGCTATGTGACTAAATATACAGAGAAAAATTAATAAAACACAGTATATAAAACAGCGTGTTACTCGATTGTACAATTATCATGGTGGGAATGCAAATAGAAAAACTGGCGACTACCGCGAGAAACTGACCAGTTTTTACTAGCTACACGCAAAAAAATGATTTAGTGATATTAGTTAAATGTCGGTAGCTAGTTCGAACTTAGCTGAAAGACTAACTGTTTTTCTGTCATTGCTAAAAACTGGGTAACAGAGGTAAAATGTATTCATTACAAAGTTTATTATTTGAAATTAAAAGCGCACCTTAGTGTGAGTAGCTAAGGCCGTTTTCCAGTTCAAACAATTAAATTATACTAATTACTTAATTATATTATATAATTATATATTATTTAATTATACAATTAAATTATACTAATAAATTACACTATACTACGCCGTGTAAAGTACTTGTTGGAATGCAGGTTATTTTCTTGTGTAACACCAAAGTGCATTACGGTTTGCTATTCTTATTTTTACGAGTATCTTACGGATCTATGTAATAAACATGATTCTAAAATATTTAAAGGAATAAATATTTTCCAAAGAATCAATTATTGCAATGTTTACATACAAATAATTCTGAAAGGAAATAGAAAGAGGATGGTGTATCAAGAAATTTATTTTAACAAGATATATAAATAATAAGTCTTAATTATTTTTTTATATTTATCTTCAACTTTCGTTGCAGTTCCATTATATTTCCATTATATTTCTTTGCATAAGTCAGTATAATATAAGAATACTTATAACAATATATTTATGTATTGTAGATTACGTTTACACTAATCAAATATATTTATTATTAGTGTTACAGTGTCCTCTGTGATCCTTGCTGGAAAACGATCTAAGAAAGTTGCAACTATTGGTAAATATAATGCGTGAGTGAATCCCGAGGTTCGGACTGCAATGTGCCTTGTTTCTAGGACATTGCTATATACAGGGTGTTCTAAAAAGATATGTCCAAAATTTAAGGAGATATTCCTCACACCTGAACGATGAAAAAATGTTATATGGACATAAATGCGGAAATGCTTATTTCAAAAGTTATGTTGAAAATATTATTAGCTGTATTACTTGCACAAGGAAAAATTTAGGATTAATTATTGTTGACGACAATCGTTTAATTAGGCTTATTTACATTTGGTTTTAATGTGACCTTGAGTTAGTTACAATAAATGTTGAAAATATTCGCCATTCGCCTGAATACAAGCAGTGACACGTCGACGCATTGATTTACGGACACGTTCAAAAATGCCTGGCGTACAGCGGATTATCTCTCAACCTGCAATCATACAGTCATGAAAATCTTGAATATCACGCACTGTTGTAGCATCTACGATTGCCTTTAAATGTTCCCACAAATAAAAGTCTATCGGATTGAGATCCGGGGAACGTGGAGGCCACAAAGTAGTCTTCCTATCCATCGATCGCCGTAAGTTTGATTGAGAAAATCACGACTATTGTCTAGGTGTAAACAAGTAACCATAACATTAAAGGTCAATATTATTCTGATTGGTGTTTACAAATAAGGCACAGTTTACCAGAGATGGGCATTTTTGAAAGTGTCCGTGAATCAATGCGTCGACGTGTCACTGCTTGTATTCAGGTGAATGGTGAACATTTTCAACATTTATTGTAACTAACTCAAGATCACATTAAAACAAAATGTAAATAAGCCTAATTAAACGATTGTCGTCTACAATAATTAATCCTAAATTTTTCCTTGTGTAAGTAATACAGCTAACAGTATTTTCAACATAACTCCTGAAATAAGCATTTCCGCACCTACGTCCATATAACATTTTTTCATCCTTCAGGTGTGAGGAATATCTCCTTAAATTTTTGACATATCTTTTTAAAACACCCTATACTCATACACCATATGGTTTCGGCGCGCATAGCTTTCACGGTTAGTCTTTTGTTGGCGTCCGAAGCCGTTAATTATGTTTTTTGTCTTTACGAAACTACGCGTAATTTTTTACTATTGGGACTGCGAACGGGTAGTCCCTATTTTTATTACACTTCACTTTTGCTGTGCTTTAACATTTAATATCTGATTACCTTAATTTATCGTACAATGATATTTGGGAATTCGCCTTAATAGGCGCCTGAAGTCAATATTGAGGGAGGAGAAGGAAAGAGAGAGAGAGAGAAAGAGAGAGAGAGAAAGAGAGAGAGCTTTCACGGTTTTCCAGGTGATTTCCGTGTTGTGAAAACATTATAACTATTGCGAGTATTGAAAAATACACTGCTCAAAAGAATTATGGCATAAATAATTTATTGCCGAAAATTGGCCAACTTTGACTGGTTATTACTGTTGGCGATTACTTCGCGAAAAATTATTGTAGACTAATGATTTTTTTTTTTTAATGAAGCTTGAAGTCTCTACTTTAAGAATGTATCTCCATTTTTTGCATGCGATGCACCCCTACCCCTGTAACCCTGACATCTGAGAGCATGTTTGGTATACTGAAAACTGCAAAGTTTGACGGAATGCACAGACGAGGACAATTTTTTTTCGGGGACGCCTTTTGCATCGCGCATAAAGTTCAAATCTTCCCCTTCAATTTGAAAAAAATGGAGTCGCCACAATTTTTTTTCGGGCCAAGTGTGCACGCATGTGTATGTGTGTCTGTGACAGAAGAGATAAGGACCCTGTGGTTCATCACTTCCACAGTCAATAATTATTGTGGAAGTGACGAACCACGGGGTCCTTATCTCTTCTGTCACGGACACACACACATATGCATGCACACTTGGCCCGAAGGCCAAAAACAACTATATTTTCGAAGGGTTGTAACTTTGCGAAAAAAAATTGTAGCGACTCCATTTTTTTTTTCAAATTGAAGGGGAAAATTTGAACTTTATGACGATGCACAATCCCCGAAAAAAATTGTCCACGTCTGTGCATTCCGTCAAACTTTACAATTTTCAGTATACCAAACATGCCCTCAGATGTCAGGAGTTACAGGGGTAGAGGTACATCGCATGCAAAAAATGGAGATACATTCTTAAAGTAGAGTCATCAAGCTTCATCTTGAAAAACAAATCATTAGTCTACAATAATTTTTCGCGAAGTAATCGCCAGTCAGGTCAATTTTCGGCAATAAATTATCTATGCCATAATTCTTTTGAGCAGTATATATGACTATTTTCTTTATTTTAACCCGCCCTTTCTTGTAAGTCTATAAGTTACCAAATATTTTGTATGGCATTGCTTCCATGACAAAATTGATGATTAAAGCAGCTAAAACTACTTAGCATGAATAACGAAGAATATATAATTTTGTAAGATTAGCCTTACTGCAAATATTATTTCGTTCTATTGCGAAGAATATGGTAGCACGGTGGATTCAGCTACATGTCATTTATTTCTGGCAGCTAATACTTTTTACTGCAACGAATAAGTTCGAAGAGTTAATATATTTAGATTTGATAGCAACGACATTAGTTGTCCTTATTTCAAAGACACATCTTAGCTACCACAGCTATATTTTAGATGCTTCTTTGGGCTAATCCCTTTTCTGCGTGTAGAATTTAATAAACAGTAATTGCTCGGAGACCTTGCACTATGATCCACATTAATTATGTTAAACGGTCATTTCGATATGCCTTATGTAATGTATGATAAAATAAGAGCACCAGAAGAAATGACGCATCGTGCGTAAATACGATGATTAATGTGCGCCATTGTCATTGTCGTTAAGAAAGATAAAGATGTGCATGTGATGCAAGGAAGAAGAGCATCAGACATAGAGACAATTAATTTTACGTAATTCGTTGTCTCAGCGTCAAGCGACAGAAACATTTGAGCTAACATGATATGATACCTCATAGAAACAAGCCCAAGACATTGATAACGACAGTATATAAATGGTGACGACGATCATTGGTCGTGCAGTGAGGTCTCCGTTGACAAGTGAGTCCACGATAAACCAAGAATCCAAGATGCACTCTTTGCTCACCGCGGTTTTGTGCCTTTCCATGGCCGTCTGTATACTGGCAAACGACTTCGAACTCGGCGAACGCAAGATGGGTGACCACTCCATTATCGACAGGACCATCAATATAGTAAATGCCCATTTCTATACCATGACTGAAGAACGCACATTTCTTCAGTCACCGATTTTCCTGAATTGCTCTGTGATCTTTATTTCGCAGAAACAAACTGTCCATTTGATTTTGAACGAATGCAAGGGGAAGAAATGTATTTTCCGTGTTAATTCATGCGTGTTGTTCTACGTGACGAAATCGAGATTCGCTTTTAACGTTCGTGATACACAGCCAGCATTTAGTAACTTTTATTTATAAAGAGAGATAGCGGTCGTATTAATATTTACTTATTTATCTATTTATTTATTTGAAATCGTTCCTCTACAAATACGTAAATATGTTTCAATATAATAGGGTAATGATCAACATAAGAATGGATATTTAAGAATAATGTCGTATATTTATTGCAGCCTCCGAACCGATGGAATCCGATGCCCACGATAGCCACAGTCGGCATGACGTGTCCATCTGATAACGAAATCATCACCTATGTTAAGATTCACAACATAAATGGCAATGAAGTTGACTATTATCTGTACGGTGATGTCGGTACGAAATCCTTAGCGGTGAGGATAACGGGAAAAAGAAACGAGAGATTATCGTTAAAAGTGGAAGGTTATTGCATAGATCCAAACACCTCAGAGGTACCAATAACAACGGAATGAACAACGCGGGACTAGACAACGATACGAGCGAGTTACGACATGGCAAAGTACGACGTCAACTACACCTAGTGAAAATGAGCACTAAAGAAAGAATGAACGATACATGCAATGGCAACGACAGCACTGCCGAGAACAACGACGAAATCTGGCCCGACAATGACAATGACGGAGGAGTAGAGAGAGAAGTCATTCTTTAGAAGAATTATTAATTTGGACTTAAGATTGCCGTATACACTTAAATTTTCATTTAAGTGTTCTGAATGTGTAACGATTGCTATGTATACGTGACTAAATATATAGAAAAAAAATATAAGATGCATCATACGAAACGACGTGTTACTCGATTGTATAATAGATTACGATTGTCACGGCACGGCGGGAGTGTGAGTAAAAAATTGCCAAGAGAAAGTGCTCGCTGCCATGAAAAACTAGCCAGTTTTTATCAGCTAGGACTTAGTAGACAGTAATTGCTCGGAGATTTGCACTAAGACCACATTAATTATGTTAAACGGTCATCTCGATATGCGCTATATAAGCGATAAAATAGTGGGACTAAAAGAAATGACGTGTTATGTGCGTAAATACAATAACGCAGTCAGAACTATATCGTTGATTCGACGTTAATTTGACGTTGAAATGGTCGATAAAACGTTGAATCAACATTAATTCAACCTTTATCGACGTCGAATCAACGTTGCAGTTCTGATTGGGAATTAATGCGTCCCATTGTCATTGTTGTCCAAGATACGATAAAGGTGTGCATGTACATTCATGTGCAAAGAAGAAGCGCGTCATAGACAGAGACAAATGATCTTACGTAAGTTGTTGTCTCAGCGTCGGACGACAGAAACATTTGAGCTGACATGATACGATACCACATAGAAATAAGCGCAGGACATTGATAACGACAGGATATAAATGCTGATAGCAATCATTGGTCGTGCAGTGAGGATCGCCAGTGAGGCGATTATCAGCCGAGCAGTGAGATTTCAGTTGATAAATGAATCCACGACAAACCAAGAATTCAAGATGCGCTCTTTGCTCACCATGGTTTTGTGCCTTTCCATGGCCGTCTGCATATTAGTAAACGATTATGTGCTTGGTGAACGAAAACAGGCGACCACTCCGTCACCGATTTTCCGGAATTGCTCTGTGATCTTTTCTTCGCAGAGGCAAGCAGCCTATTCGATTTTGATCGAATACAGGAGGAAGAAATGTATTCCTCGTGTTAATGCATATGTATCGTGCGTGGCGAAACCGAAATTCATCTTTAACGCTTGTATACCGTGATTGAGCGGGCGTTTAGTAACTTTTATGAGAAAGAATGGTCGCATTAATATTTATTTATCTATGTATTTAAAAATAATGAAAGTTTGGCAGCTACAGTTCGCAATTTTCGTACAAATTATGGTCGGAATAATGATTTAACTTCATCAACTGTGAAGAGATTAATTAAAAAATTTAGGGAGACTGGATCAATTAGTGATCTTAAACACTCTGGCCGTCCTTCAACAAGTCGTTCAACACAAAACATCGAAGCAGTTCGTGAGAGTATTGTTGAGAGTCCAAGAACATCAATTCGGCACCGTGGTCAAGAATTGGACATTTCGAGAAGCTCTCTACAGCGTATTTTCACGAAAGATTTGCATCTTCATGCTTACAAAGTTCAATTGACTCAAGAACTGAAGCCTACTGACCACGCACAGCGAAGAGAGTTGAATGGATTATGGAACAACAAGTGGATGCTGATTTTCCGAACAAAATCATCTTCAGCGATGAGGCTCATTTCCATCTTGATGGCTTAGTTAATCGACAAAATTGTCGCATTTAGGGTTCAGAAAATCCACGAGTGATTGTTGAGAAACAAATGCATCCACAACGTGTCACTGTTTGGTGTGGATTTTGAACTGGAGACATCATCGGACCATTCTTCTTCGAAAATGCGGCTGGTCAGGCAATAAGTTAATGATGCTCGCTATCGCGACATGATAATCCAGTTTCTCGTGTCTAAATTGCAAAATATGAATGTGGACGACATATGGTTTCAACAAGACGGTGTCATACAGCTCGAGAAACAATTCAATTACTGCATGAGTCATTTCCTGGTCGTGTAATTTCCCGTTTTGGTGATCAGATTTGGCCGTCCAGATCATACGATTTAACGACGTTGGACTTTTTTCTTTGGGGTTTTTTGAAGTCTAAGGTTTATGCCAACAAGCCTACGACCACCCACGCCTTGAAAGAGGAAATTGAGCGCTGTATCAACGAAATTCAGCCACATTTATGCAAAACGGTTATGGAAAATTTCAACAAAAGAGTGCATATGAGCTAGTAAAGCCGTGGAGGCCATTTACCCGATATGCTATTCCATACATAACCCAATACTGTATACTTTATGAATCAATAAAAAATTTACAATTTTTAATTATAAACATGTGTTTTCTATCAAAATTACTTCTTGCGTGAATTTTGGACACCCTTTATAATATTGTTGTTTTATTAAAATCAGTAAAATGAATAAAAGAGATGGGTATAATGTAATGGGGGTAAATATTGTATAATAAACTGCAAAAGTGCAAATTTAAATTTGCAAAGTGTTAAATTTTGTTTTAATCAAAATGAATCCCCTTCGAAGCAATACAAGGTAAAATAAGCGGACTTCAATATCATTTAATTTTCGAGATCTTTTTACCTGTTACGTTTGAAGCACCCTGTATATATATACAGCTTTCTATATAGATATAGCTTTCTAGATATAACATCTTTCTATATTATAATCAGTAATATGCTATATATTATTAATTATACTATTGGGTTGGCAAATAAGTTCGTTCGGTTTTTTAGAGTAGAATAAAACACAATTTTTTGATACTAGTACACAAGATAAATTTTAATCAATTATATATTGGCCATCTTTATTGGTGATTTCTAGCCATCTTTCCACCAACTTCATTATGCCGCGTTCGTAAAACGTCTGGGGTTTATCGGCGGAAAACCAATCCAGGTGGTTTTTAACGGCCTCTTCATCCTTGAAGGTTTCCCCGTTTATAGAGTTCTGCAACGACCGGAATAAATGATAATCGGAAGTGGCAAGATCCGGTGAATACGGAAGATGAGGCAAAACATCCCAGCCAAGCTAAAGCAATTTGTTCCGAGTGGTCAATGACGTATGAGGTCTAGCGTTGTGGTGGAAGACGACACCCTTGTGATTTGCCAATTCTGGACGTTTTGTGCGGATTGCTTGGTTCAATTTCGTCAATTACGAACAGTATACAGTTGAATCAATCGTTTTGCCTGACGGTAACAGTTCGTAATAGATGACACCCTTGAAATCCCACCATACGGAAAGCATTATTTTCTTCGGATGCAATTGCCCGCCTTCGAGGTTGTTTGCAGTGGCTCACTGCTGTGCCCCGATAATCTTTTACACGTTACATTATAGTAGACGACCCATTTTTGTCACCCGTCACCATTCGTTTCAAAAATGGGTCGTTTTCTTGGCGTTTCCGTAGCGAATCGCAGATGGATATACGTGTGGTCAAGTTAGCCTCGGTTAATTGATGCGGCACCCAAACATTAAGCCGAGAAACGTATCCCAGCTGGCGCAAATGCTTTTCTACGCTTATGTGAGATATATTCAATATCGTAGCAATCTCTCGTATTGATTGGGATGGATTTACTTCAATTATAGCCTTAATGTCATTTGAAATAATCTCGGTCGGGTGACCGGAGCGGGGCGCATCATTGACGTCGAAATCTCCAGAACGAAAATTGGCATACTACTTTTGGCATACGCGTTTTGTTAAGGCATCATCTCCATACACACGGCATATCTTTTTATGAGCATCCGCAGCTCGTTTGCCTTTTTTAAAATAATAGAGCAAAGTGTGACGATAATACACGTTTATTTCCATGTTCATAGCTACGCAGCACACACAATACTGATGTTAGCCAAACCAAACACAGAACAACATAAACAGTGAAACATAACCTTTCAAATGTGTATTCGATTTGCACGATAGCGCTGAGAAAAGAAAAGCGAATCCGCATGAAACTTACACTGAAACAAAAACCGAACGAACTTATTTGCCAACCCAATATTATTAACATATTATATTAATAATAGTTCATATTTTTATATTATTTTATAATGTATATTATATATTTGACAGTAAATATTGAAAAACAGCAATAAATCTGTTTTAGCTACTATTCATTGTTATTCAAATTATAACCCGCGCACAACCAATAACATGGCGGTCTTGTAGCACCTAAGATCAAGAGCACTGCCACCGAGTGAATCTGCTGTTCTTTCTTATACTGTGGTTTGGTAATATCAGCGCAAGATTTTTAGTGGTGTTAATAATAGGGAAAAGGGGCGATGAATTATCGTTAAAAGTAGAAAGTTACTGCATAGTACCAAACACATCCACTTCGGAAGCACTAATAACAACGGAAAAAACAACGCGGGAATAGACAACGACACAGCGAGTTACGATATGACATAGTACGAGGATAGTCCCAGAAGTACCCGACCTGACAATAGATGACGGTTGTTGTTTGAAAAGAATGACTATGGTAGAAAGTACCAACCTTATAAAGTTTAAGTTTGAAGTTTGACGACGTTACATTGTTTAGTATTTGTTTGGCAGCCATCAATTGTGAACGCTCTCAGTGAATTTATAAACATGGAAAAAATTGCTCATCGTTACGTGATACAATACTTTCATTTGAAAGGCCTCAGTCCAACCAATATCAAAGCAAAGGTAGATTCTACTCTGGGGGAGTCTGCTCCTTTGTTTACAACAGTAAAATATTGGGTGGCAGAGTTTAAACGAGGCCGTACGTGCTGCCAAGACGAACATCGCAGTGGTCGACCAAATGAGGTGACCACGCCAGAAATGGTGAAGAAAATCCATAAAATGGTATTGGATGACCGTCGACTGAAAGTGCGCGAGTTAGCAGACATGGTAGGCATTCCAAAAAGTGCTGTACATCGCATATTGACTGAAAATTTGGACATGAGAAAGCTGTGCGCAAGATAGGTACTGCGATTACTCACAATGGAACAAAAACAGCGTCGTGAAGATGTTTCAATCGAGTGTTTGGCGAAGTTTCACAGCCGAGTTTTTGCGTCGATTTATAACCATGAATGAAACATGGGTCCATCACTTCACACCTGAGACGAAGGAACAAAACAATAGACTGAAAGGGGAGAATCGGCTCCAAAGAAGGCGAAAACAGTTCCATCTGCAGGCAAGGTCATGGCATCAGTTTTTGGGATGCGCGTGGGACAATTTTCATTGATTATCTTCAGAAAGGAAAGACAATCAACGGCGAGTATTATGCAAACTTACTGCAGCATTTGAGTGATGAAATCAAGAAAAAACGGCCGCATTTGGCGAAAAAGAAAGTTTTATTTCATCAAGACAATGCACTAGTTCACACATCCGTTAACGCGATGACCAAAATCAATGAGTTAAAGTTCGAATTGCTTCCTCACGCACCCTATTCGCCAGATTTAGCCTCCTCGGATTATTTCCTGTTTCCAAACTTGAAAAAATGGCTCGGTGATAAAAGATTTGCCAACAATGAAGAAGTGAAGTCTGCGGTTGATGGCTATTTTGAGGAGCTCGACGATTCCCACTATAAACAGGGTATCGAAGCTATTGAACATCGCTGGGAAAAGTGTATTGAGCTAAAAGGAGACTATGTAGAGAAATAAAGATATTTTTTCTCAAATTTTTTGTTTTCTTTGTTAGGGTACTTCTGGGACTACCCTCGTATGACATCAACTACTACCGTCAAAAGATCTGATTCCAATTGTCACCTTTCTACCATGTTTATTGGTCTGCCCATGAGCTGAAGCGGGTGTCACACATGTAATATAATTGTTTATCCATATTATATAACAAATTGGGTGGAGAACAAAATTGTCCGATACATGAATTCTATGTCATTTTTTCCGTAGAATCGAATGGCGCTACCAGTTTTCCCGTAACTCGCATTTGCAAATAAATTGCCTAAACAATAGGTTTTTAAACGATTGAAAAATCTAATTGTTTTCATGGAAAATCATCTTTTGGTTAAAAGATCTCATCCAAATGTTCGCCTTTCTGCTATATCTATTGGTGTGTCCATGGGCATTAATAGGTTAATTACAATTTTATATTTGAAGAGTTGAAACAACGAAATTATCCATTTTTTGATATTTTGTCTCAGGAAATATTTGTTCACTGATCCAAAAACTACAATATATTTCAAATGCAGCCATTTTCGCCAAAGCACATTTTCACCCGGATTAGTGCGGGGTCCTTTGGCCTGACAATGACAATAACGGATTAAAGAGAGAAGCACTTCTTTAGAAAAATTATTAATTTGGACTTAAGACTGCTGTACAAACGTTTTAACTTAAGTTCTGAGTGTATAACGATTGCTATATATACGTGATAAAATATGAAGAAAAAAAATTAGACGCATCATACGAAGCGATATGTTACTCAATTGAACAAATATCATGATGGGAATGTGACTAGAAAAATTGCCGAAAAGACTGGCGGCTACCACGAGAAACTGGCCAGTTTTTAGGATTTAGTAGCTAGTAATTGCTCCAAGACTTTGCACTAAGATCCATTAATTATATTAAATAGTCATTTCGATATGCCGCATGTATGAATGACAAAATAATGGGATTAAAAAAATGACGCGACTCGGACGTAAAT